TAATATTTCTGCACACACTGAGAACAAATTTGAATCATAACGATTATATGTGATGACGAGCTCTATCCCTTTTTGGTGAAAGTTTTTACTTCTTAATCATGTATTTTAAGATGCCATATTCTCTATATTATCTAATGTAAAAAAGAAGAGCAGAGAGAACGAACTTATGAACATGTCGCTATTGAAAGAACCACACGGTGAAAAAATATTTAATATTCCGCTCAACCGAAAGTGCTGATTGATGCAACTGGTAAATAACCTCCCCATTTTCATGCGCTCAAACATTCATGCAGGAAAAGTGCAACTACCTGAAATTGAGACATCACCAGAACTTAACTTAAATATTTTGTTTACCTTAAACAGAAACAAATTCCCTGAGTGTACACCATGACAAACTGAACTGAACCCAAAAAGGGCTAAGGGCAGCAGAGGGATAACTTTAAGCAGAACAAAGCCTCATCCAGTGGCCAGTCCTGGGAAGGGGGAAACGGAGAAGGACAGCTGCGAGGCTTAGGCGAGGCTTAACGCAAAGAATACCCGATTGATTGTGTAAAATATGAAAATTTCACATCAAGCATATGGGACCACAGATGCTGACGGTGCCAGAGCTCTCGTATGGATTGAGCTTTATAATGCCATCCAACTGAATTATAAATTATTAAATTTACTTAATACAAAATCAATTCTTATAAATTGGAATGGGCCGAGCCGCTGCGTACTGGTTATGATTGGGGGATAAAAAATCATGACATTATCATTGCCCATCATCGTCATCATCATAATATCAACCAGCCATGGTTGGTCATGGGTATATGGGCATGAGTGTGCTGTGGAAAAACATCATCATTAAATATAATTGCATGTAACAGTTACTCAGTTTCAGAGAGCCGCTAGTGGGTGGGTTGGGTGGTGCGGCATGTGGTTGCGGCAGTGTGGGTGGGAAAAAGCCGCATTTGTTATGTAAACGCTCATTAAAATGTTTGCCGCGTTACGCATACGCATTGTTGGCCGAAAATGAAAACCAGTTTTGCTGCTTTCTCTCTCTCTCCCTCTCGAATTCCGTTCAATTTGTGTGATTTTCATTTTGATTTTCCTTTGTTCTCTTCTCCTCTCTCCCACATGGTCAGTTTCCAATGGAAAGAAGACATTTTCACCTGCCCAACACCCATCTCTCGGGCAAAGCCAAGAAGAGTTGAGTTATTGTGCACTGACATTCTGAATATTTCAGGAATTTCTTAATTGTTTAACTGGCAGACCCAGTAAAAGCAGAGTAATGAAACGGAACGGAAAGGAAAGCGTCCATGGTCACTCTTCTCCTCAGTCCTATTGTTGTGTCCATTCTTGTGTCCATTTAATAATTCAAGCTAAATATTCTATATGTAGTAGATCTGTGTGTATGTTCTAGCGCGTGTGTGCTTATATTTTATTTTTAAAAAACAATTTCCCAACAAAACGACAATGAGAATGACAGCCAAGTTGGTCCCGGGTTAGGTTCCAGGTCCAGTTGCCTAGGACAGGACCAGCATGTGGCCCAAAGTGCCCCCGAAAAAAGCAAAACACTAGATGAAGCATAAGCAACACAGCGCGGAAAAACCCGAGAAGAAAAAAAGGAAGGCAGAAGAAAAAAAAGGGAAAACGCAGAAAAATAATAAAAAGAAATTGGACAATAAAATACAACAATTTATGGCGTAGAGCAATCCTTTTTGGTGGCACTTCTCGGGCCAAGGGTTGGTATTGACCAGTGGCGGGGGATAGGGGACGGAAGAGGCACCAAAAGTCGAGCATGAACACGGACCAACGACTGGATAAGGCGGCAACATTGTTTGCGGTGAGGTGGTGGTGGCTGCAGAGAGGTTCTGCAGGGTGGTGACTGGGTTCGGCTTGGAGCCAGCAAATCGTCATTGGAAACTAAACGAAAATGTTTAGTATGATTTTTTTTTATTTCACTTTTGTTTCGCTCGATTTTTTATATTTATTTATTATTGCTGAGGTTTTTCTCCACTTAGCTGTGGACTTGCCAGGGCTGCGCGGAACCAGCTGGAGCGATTTTAAGAGGAATTTCGAGTGGAACCAGGAAATGAGTAGATTGTTTTGATCAAATCAGAACGAGTAAGAGGCTTATATGTCCTTGCACAAGAATATATTTGGAATCTTTTAAAAGATATGCCTTCATTCATTATAAATTATATTTCACTTCCAACTATAGCAAACTCCTTCTTTGTTTTCATTAAATAAACAAAAAACTAGGACATTCTTTCAATTTTAAAGTTTCAAATGGTTGTGGCTCTTCAGGGACAAAAATTGCAAAGTAACTTTGGGAGTACTTGAGTGCTTTTTCATGTTATATGAAAGGAGAAAGGAATAGAAAATTTTAATTGATAATAAAACACATGGGAGAGTCCAATAGAAGCTGGAAAATTATAAAAAAAAATAATATTTCTCGTAACAATATATTAGGAAATATTTTCTCAGTTCCAATGCATTTTTTCCACGGAAAATTTTAGCCTTTGAGCAGCCATTGAACCAGTTCGATTTTTCAAATGGGTTTCCATGGCTCTTAGACTTTGCTCTCGTCTCGTTTCGTTTCGGATCGCTTCGGTTTGGTCGTGCTCCTTTTTTATTACTTTTATTACTGGAAAAGCTGGTAAGTGATGGCTGTTGGTGCCGCTGCCACTGCTGTAGATGTAGCCATAGCTGTAGCTGCTGGTAACAAATGTTTAACAAAAGTTGTTGCCACTGCCAGTTTCATATCAGCTGCCAGCGAAATGATTTAAGCGGGACGCACGTTCCAGCCCCAGGCAGTCCAATCCGCTCCGCTCCACTTTGCTGCCGCTGCCGCTGCCCCTTTTCCAAGGACGAATCTCGCCGAATCCGCACCCAAAAACCGAAACTTTATTTCATTTAATTGAAATTTTATGTAAAACATACATTTCGTTTCGTTTGATGCATAGTTTTTTCGCTCGCAGCGTGGCAGCCCCAACAAAATGTGAATTATTTTGCAAGTTTTACGAGCATTTGAGTCATGTGGTTTGGTAACTGGATGGAAACTGAGGGAAACTGCGTGACCTTCGCCACCAAAATGAGATAAATTTTCATGATTTTTCACTGTTTGAACGGTTTTGGCCATAAATTACATTGGCCAACACAGGAGTTTTATCTTCTTTCTGGTTTCTGTTTTCTGGTATAGGGTGTACTACTATAAACGCCGCGACGATAAGGAAACTGGAAATCCTTTTACTTTTCCGAACAAATTGACAAGCCATCCCTCCCATCCGGCTGTGGCAGACAGATAAGAGCGCTGCTGGGGGAAGGATGTACTCAGGATGTGTGGCACAAGTGTTTGCCGAAAGAGTGTGTCGAGTGCAATCATCACAATAAGAGAACAAACCCCAGACAATGGGTGAGTGAGGAAAGTGTCTGAAGTGCTGATGGTTGCTGAGGAGTCGAGTCTTACTTACAGAAACAGATTTCCTGAAAGCTTGACGAGGCATGCAGATGGATTTTCCCCCCACAAAGATCCCAAATATAACACAATACTCTGACATGTTTTTGTATAATTTTTATGAATTTATTTATATTTCTGTTGGTATTCTTCTGCTGGCCATTTACGACATCGACATCCTCCCAATATACACACATGAATATGGTTATTTTTCATTTTTCACAACTTGACATACTTTTCCATTCAATTATTATTACAATTTGATCAGTATTCATCCAAATATTTACAGGGTATTAACGCTGTTAGCATTTTGAGAATTTTTTCTATACGGGTTACATTTAATTAGGTTTCTTTTCGCTTTCATTATTTGCTAATTGTTATCAATAAAGTTGAGTTTTTGTTTGCAATTTCCATCAGCAATCAAAAATTGTGGAATTCTCAATAAGTTGTTCTTTTTATTTTTATTTTTTGTTTTTCCTGTTGTTAAACATTAAATTATCGTAGTAATTAAATAGTAATAATATATATATATGTAATTTAATTTTATTTTTGATCACATTTGTTATTTTTGCCTTTACTTTGTTGCGCCCATTCCCATCGCCTGGCTTAAACTTTAAATATGTTTCGTATTTTTTGGTAACCAAAAAGAGGTTGGATCTAATCTATTAGTTGAGCTGCAAAAATTTTTTCAAAGGTAACTTTTCGTTACCCTCCCAACCACCCCCCACAAAAACCCAACTCGAAATCTTTGATGACTAAATTAAAACAAAATATTTAAATATACATATCTATATACTCGTATGAGAGTGTTTGTCTTTTGTTTTATTGGTTTCTATATGCGTTTAATGGTTCTTGAACAAACTTTTCTTCTCATATGCTGGCTATACAATTGTCGTTAAATATTATTTCATGCTTAATGTGTTTTCCTTGTGAACTTATTCGCAATTTTGGCGGGTTGAATTTTGTATGGATCTATTAATTATACAATATGTTTTTTACCATCATCATTTTTCCGTTTTTCCTTTGCAGCACAACGCTTTGCTTTATTTGAATATTGATTAAAAGATTGGCATTTAAGCCTTACAAATTGCCAAATGATGCAAAAAATGTGGTTACATTCAATGCGTGCATTGAATAACTTTCATTTTGTTTTTGGTTTTTTTGTTTTTTGGCTTTTCTCATTTATATATAAATAAAACCTTTGCTAATTAAATGTTTAATGTTAATTAACTTATTAAATGGAAATTTCATTTCGGTTAATAACAAAATTAAAAACGCTTTAAACGAATAACGTGTTGTAATTAAAACTTTTTGAATGCATATTCGCCGGGCTAATGAAAGCGGCTCAGTGGCTGAGATTAATGAGCCCGATTCGTAAATCGGAATCGTGTCAATCTCTAAAACCCTCTGGTTCAAGGCCACTGGCCCGGCGACAATGTATTTAAAAATGTAACAGGTATTTTTTATGTATTAACTATTAGCTATTTCCTTTTCCTTTTGATAAACTTTAATAACTTTTTCATAGAAAAAATACTTCCTGAAAAATTAGATTTTCCTCTTGACTTTTCGGGGATCAGCTTTGGTTTTTTGGTTTCCCGTTTTTACTTTGTATCGGGTTTATTAATTTGGGGCTAACTGTGCTTTACTTTAGCTATTATAGGGATTACTTTTTTCCTAGCTTTTATGTGCTGTTTTCCAGGTTTTTTCCTGGTTTTTTCTTTAGTTATCTTTTTCCACTCTTTCCGCTGACACTACCTGACTTAGAGCTAGAGATAAAAATAAACATGGCAATGATATTTACACAATGTTGGCGGATCTGGGGGTGGGAGGGACAGAGGTGGTTAGGGTTGGGGTTGGGGGTGCAGTGGTATGTGGCATGTGGCAGTCTCTGCTTGCCACTTTGTATTTGTTTATGGGCGATGCCAGCTGCGCACAAAGTTGTCTGGCAGCGGCGGGCACCAGCTGGCCAACACTGCCCCAGGTCTGAGCGATTGAAAAATGTCTGAGTATCCGTGTATGACTGAGTGTGTCCGCGTTGCCTACACACACACATAGACAAGCAAACAATACTCAACAAATAAAACACGAACAAAAAACAAAAACAAAAAAGAGAGCAAAACTTTGTCAATTAACCTAAAACAAGTTTCACTTTACAACACGTACGCTTGACATAATTTTTTGCTATTCTCTCGCCGCGGGAGATTCGCTCTATTTGTATATGTGTGTATATGTGTACGTATATGTATGTGGATGAATATATGTATATGTGTGAATGGGGGATGAACTTTACATATGAAGAAATTATCACGTTCTTGGTCCTTGATAACGACAATAGGATCTGCCCATAATGTCTTCGGCTGGAATTGACTGATCAATGGGTGGCACCCGCAGGAGTTCCATTTGATCACGCACCTAAAACGACAGAGAAAATACGTGGTTTTCCGTTGGTTAAAACTCAATCAGCAATTATCCGAGTGTGCGTGTGTGTGTGTGTGTCAGCCAACAGCTGCATTTGATTGATGAAAATTGATTGCATACGCGAAGGAGTCCAAAGAGCCGAAGGAGCTGTGCCATTGCTGGCACAACTTACAAAAGTTATTTAGCGTAATTGCCAAAGTTTTGTTTGCATTTTCAAATGCTAAAATGATTCCTTGAAAGTGCTCGGGTATCCTTATACTGCATATGGCATTATTATTGTCCATAAATTTTGAGCCGAGGCGTTTCCGTAATGAATTTCTGAGATTTAAGTATACTTTGACTTACGTCAATGGCTATTAGGGAAATTACAAAATCGATGGGGCTCCGAAAAGATTTTTGCAAGAATGGTGCCATGGAATCCTTTAGTTCTAAAGTTTATCAAGCACCCCCAGTGTAAAGACAGACCAATGACGGAATTTTCTTATGAACTATGAGTTTTGAAAAGTATTTGGGTGTGGAGTTGTTGCTGGAACCAGACAAAATATTCATGCCATTATATTGTATTAAATATATTTAAAATTTAAAATAAATATATTTCACATTTAAATAATATATTTTCATTTATACCTTAAATATATTTTCAACAAATTTAATATAATTTATATTTCGATTGAATATGGGTGTGCTTTTTTTCACTATGCCGTGTAAGTTGACTAAGCTTGAAGGTAAGTCTAAGGTAATTTTTAGAAATTATCATGGAATTGGCTGACTCTCAGAAGCTATAATAAAATATTTTTTTTTAGTAATTTTGTATCACTTAAAAAGATTTCAAACATTCTTAAATCTTCCTAAAGCTTAACTTCTAAGATGCCCATTCCTAATTTGTATATCTTTTCGTAGCCCCCCTTTCCCCTTAAATGGCAATAATATATAGAGTTAAATATTCATAAAGAGACATTCTGGCTCACTCCGCCATTCTCACACATACTAAAGACTTAAAGGAAAACCCTTAGTTGCGTCCCTGGAAAAGTTTGGAGCACATTTAATGCCACAAGCCGAAAAAAGGAGGAAAAAACGAAATAAAATGAGAGAAAATGTTTTGTTTTCAACACCAAACACCTTTTGAGGCAGCCCCCGCCCAGCAGTGGGAGGTGATGATGGCGACGATGGGGCAGTGGCAGTGGAAAGGCTGTGTTGGACTGCGCCCGAGTTTGGGGCTCGTCCCACTTCCTGTGTTTTGTTTGCCATACAACAATCGAATTTACGACTTTTTTATGAGGCTTTATGTGCGCCCTGCCACACAAACAACAATAAAACGTCAGCTTTGGCTCAGTCATTGCACTTTGCGTGCAGTCCTAGGCCCGACCCTCTCCCTACCCCTCCCACTCACAGCAGTGGGAACTTTTGTGCCTTTTGCCTTTTGGCCAGACTCTTCCGGCCTTTGAGCCGCGTTCTATGCCCCTGTGTACCCCACGCTACAAGTATTTCTATACAAATGAAAAGCACAGTTCCACAGTTACAGTTTGAGTGAAAAGTTCAAAGCGTAAAATGAATGTTGAAGAGTGCCCGGCTCTACCCCTGTAGCCCGAACCCAAAGCCAAATCAATTGTAAGAAGGTCAGGCTCAGACATTCTCGCACTCATACACACAAGAAGGGGTGGGGGTGGGTGTGCTTGTCTGTTCTTAGAGAAAGAGATCCCCACACAAGGCTGGCAAAAGATATTTAAATGAATTTGTCTCGCACAAATTGCTGCCATTTGCCGGGGACATTTGCCCATGGCCCATCACCCATCACCCCGGACCAGGCCAAAACCGAAGCCGAAGCCGAAGCGGGAGCTAGAGTCTCCGCTGCCGCCACTAGGGCGATGTGTCGTGCCAAATGCCGTTCTCCGCTCTCGCATTAGATATAAAAGGCTAAAATAAAAGATACATTTACACAGACACAAGCAGCTGGAAGGGCTGCTGCTGTTGGTGATGGTATGGGATGGGGGCGAAATCCTTGGCTTTTCTGCCGCTGCCTCTCTGCTGCTTTTGTGTAGATAAAAACTGGCGTCAAGAAAATTATCATGTTCATGGGCTATGGGCTATGGGCTATGGGCTATGGGCTCTCCAGTTCTCTACCACCCGCTGCCCGCTGCCACCCACAAATTTGTGGCAATTGCTGTTTGTCTTTAAGGTCCTTGGGAATGTGTTCTCGAAACCCGTTTTGGTTCTGAATCGGGGGGAAACTTTGGCCTACGACTTCCGTTAGTGTTTAAATTTTTCATAATTTATTGGCTCATAAAATTCTCCCCCTAAAAGATGGAAATGTGTCATAAAAAATTGATTTCCTTATGGCCATTGAATGGCTCTCGAAAACTATGGGGAAACACGGAGGATATATCGTGCAATTAAGGCGAAAATGTTTACTGGAATGCCCCCCGAGTACGTGTCCAGCTTGAAAGGGTATGTGTGTGTGTGTATGGTGGTGCGCTTGTGTGCTAGATGGCAATCATTAAAATGGCCTTTTGCCTAATTTCTATGACTTGCTTAATTATCACAGCCATGACCGAGTCCCCGGTCCAAATCCCCTGTGTACACAGAGAGAGAGCGACCCAGAGACCCAGACCCGAAAACAGCATTAAGCTTCTAATAATTGAACATTTGACCCGCTTTTCGTTATTATTTAATTGCATTACGAGCCAGGCGACACTGGCGGCGCCCCTAAGTAGGCAACAATAAATTTCATGCCAGCTCCAGTTCAATGAACTCCAGAGCCTGAGACTTGGTCAGATGCAAAGCCAAAACAAAAGCAAATGTCATTCGGATATATATTATATGGCTCTCTGGCTTAATCCTCGGGGCTCTGGGCTTTTGGCCAAAGATAAAAGGCGGTTGGGTAACGTTTTTAATTACTTTTTACCACACGCAAAAAAAAGGGCAAGTACTGGAATACAGAAAATAAAAAGTACAGAAACAAACAGAAACGTATTAATATACAATTCTTAATGAGTATTATGGCCATGTAATAAACAGCAGTAAAAATATATATATATATATATGTTCATATATATGTACGAGTATGTGACTCTATATGGTTGTCTGCTGAGTGCAAAACGCCATAAAAACTCGGGACGATTTTAATCAGACCACGCTGCAAGTAAGGCTATACTTTTGCCGGCCCCCTTTTGTCCAGTACTATTATGGGGTAAGTGCGAATTGTAATCACAGACGGACACTAAGTATTCCCTGCTTTTTATCCGAGTATATAGTATACACCCCGAACTAAAACTAATTACAATGTAGCGGCTGGGAGGGGGAGGAGGCTCTGAGAATATGATTAAAGTTTGCCCGGTCTCTCGCAGTCTCTCGGAGTCCGAGTAGAGACAAGGGCTAAATTAAAAAATGCTGCGGCGGCATCTCTTTCTCAACTTGTGCCAAAGGAGGTTTTTATAATCAGCAAAAGCAATAAAAGCGACGACCACGACGACCAGTATCGTTCAAGAGGGCGTATGATTTATACTTGTTATTAAATCTTTAAATTGGTTTTGGGAACCAAAGGAACAAGCTTGACAGAGCGTCCGAGATTCGAAATGAGTATAATTTAACTATTTTGATTTAGAGAACAGAGATTTTATGGAGCACAAGCAGGCGACTCTAGTCAAGATGAATTCGAGAAGAGAATTTACCCCAAGCCATTTTGCCCGTACATATGCTCGGGGCACGCATTCTAAGTATTTCTTATGCACATTTTCCTTTAATTTATAATTCAATTAGCCCATCAATAGAGAGAGTACCAATCTCCTCACAAGAGACAGCTGAAGTGCCCGTCTGCATCGTTTAGCCAAGCATCTAGCCATAGCCATCCCATCGATGCATCGAAGCATCCATCCAAGCATTCGACTGAAAAACAAACCCACTTGCCAGCCTTTGAGTGGTACTAACCTCCACTCGAATGGCATTCAATGCAAGAGGAGTAACTTCCTCAAAAGAGGGGCTTTGGTCCCAGTCCCGTATTGATCTAAATTGAATGCTGCTTGAAGCCTGGAGTGCATAGACATAGACAGCTCCTGCGAAAAGAAACAGAATGGCAAAAACCAATCCCATTCCCTGTACTCTTTACTCTGGGCTTTATGTGAGTATATGGGACTCGTAGTATCCTCCAGTATCCTTGGAGCAGACGGCAAACATGCTGACCGCATCCTGCAAACAAACTGCAGATTCTGCTTCTGCTGTTGAGGCGCCGGCTGTTGCTTCAACTCTCCTGCTGCTCCTGCTGTTCATGCTGGCTGGTCATGCCTCGTGTATAAATATCGGAATAAGCATTTGAAAATCCTTTTAAAATTATTTCACAACTTGCGTCTTTTCGACGCCAGAGCCAATGTCCTGCCAGTGCTAGCTCCAGCTCGTCCGCCTTTCAACTTCTGGTTTTGCTGGTGCTTCTGCTTCTGCTTCCATTCCAAGTATGTGCAAATTCCATTGCAAAGCCACATTATTCCTTTTATCCTTGTGAAAGGAATTTTCCAACTGTAATAACAACCGAGGGTGAGGTGGGGTGGGGTTTCTAGCAATGTCCTTTTCCAGCTCCTTTGTTTGTTTGCTGGCTGAGAAATGTGTGTTAGTTTGCAGCCCTGGCACTGGCTTCGGACTCTAAGTCGGTCAGGTACGCGTCTGACACTAAACAGCACTAAAGAAAACACAGCAAAGGACAGAGAGATCCCAGAAGGAATAACCTCAAGAAATCTACACTATATTTTATGATAGAAATCTAGATTAGAAATCAAGAAAAGCCACTGTATATAATTTCATATGATTAGAAAATCCACTCTCTTTAGTCAGTCAAAGAACTTTCTTGGAAACATTTTTTGAGTCTCTGCGGCAGAGTATCAACACATTCTTCAGAGGCCAAAACGATGAACAATTGAAAAATACCACAGAGAAAAAAATGAAAAATTTTCTCCAAAGTTCTCCCCCGCTTGTTTGCTGCTGGACACTCACCGCTTCGACTTCCTTGAATACACGTATTAGATTCCTGCCAGCCAACTTGGCAATATCCTCCTCTGACCATTTATCAGACTCGAGTAGAGCAGCAAAAAGATGCGGATATTTGGACACATCCTCCAGTCCTTTGGGCACTCTGCAACAAAGGGGAAGAAAGGGACACCAACCATAATTCGCCAAATGGAATGAAATGTAATTGAAGTACATATGTATGTGGGGAGCCGTATAGCTGAAAAGTACTCACAAGTTGACTCCATCGTAGCCAGCACCAATGCCCACATGATCGATGCCAGCCACCTCCCTTATGTGGTTGATATGCGCTGAAAGGAGCAGAGCAGTTTAAAGATTAATGTTTCCCTTTTTGAACCAGAACCAGAAACCAGAACCCAAACAGAAGCCCAACCTACCAACAACATCGTGCAGTGTTGCCTGTCCCGAGCAGCTGACGAAATGTGGATAAAAGGCGACCATAACCAGACCGCCATTTATTGCCTGCCAGTGGGATAGAAGGGACAGGATTAATGCTCTCTGCAAAGATTAATGCCTTCTTAATGGACTTACAATGCGTTGCAGGACATGATCGGGCACATTGCGGGAACTGTTGCAGATGGCATGCGCCGAGGAGTGCGAAAAGATGAGCGGCGCCCTAGAGGCGGCCAAAGCATCCAGCATTGTTGGCACCGACACATGCGACAGATCAACAATCATCCCAAGACGATTCATCTCCTTGACCACCAACTAAAAGAGAAATATTCGGAGTTATTTCACGAGTAATAATACTAATAATATATTCATAGTAATAATAATAGTAATACGAGTAGTAGTTGGATGGTCTCACCTTGCCGAACTGCGAGAGTCCGCCAATGTGTGGATACTTTCCGGGCTCGTCAACTTTGCAACAGTCCGCCCTGATATCAAAGAAAGGAAAGGATCATTTGGTAATCATTTGAACACTTAGACATTTATGGACCCTTACCAAGGTGTATTGCAGGTGTGTGTGAGAGTCAAGTATCGTGCGCCGAGCTGATAGAACATCCGCAGGACACTCAGACTGGTGCCGATGGCATGTCCACCCTCCACCCCTATCAGGCTGGCGATCTTCCCCGTGCGATGTGTCTGCTCGATGCCCGTGGCCGTCGTCACAAGAGCCATGTGATGAGGATAAAGCTGCACCAGGCGCCGGATGAGATCGATTTGCTCCAGTGTCAGCTGCACGGCATCCAGATGCTGCGACGAACAGGGGGCGTAGGCTGACCAGAATTGTGCCGAGACCATGCCCTCCTTGAGGCGGCGCAGGTCTGTGTGGCTCCAGGCACTCGACGACCAGGGAGCCAGTTCCCGGAGATCGCCACCGAAGTGGAAGTCCTTCAGCTGATTCTTGAGGAACTTTCGTATGTTCCAGGGCAGATCGTTGTGGCCGTCGATGAGGGGCACCTCCTTCAGGACATTCCGGACGCGTTGCATGCGATAGTCGAAATCGTCGCTGGCCTTGGCGTTGCCGCTGGCGCCGGCCGCGGCCCCGGCCGAGCATTTCAGGATGGGCAGGACGAGCGGGAAGTAAACGAAGGTCAGACAGTTCAGGCCACAAAGCACGAAGCCCTTTGGCAGCTTCCGTGATTTCATTGCCCCTCAAGGAGCGCGGCGCTCTAACAGTAGAGCCCAGAAGCCGCCGCAGCACTCACATTGATGGTGTTCCACCGCGTTCTAGCTACAAAAACAAACAAAAAAAAGCCAAGAGAGAAAGAGTGAGAAGGGGTGAGAGAGAGGGGGAGTTAAATGGAGAATTCAATGGAGAGGATACGACTTAGTCTATTGCATGTGCGGGTGTGGCGTGATTGAGCTATTGAAAGTTGTTGGCAAACAAATGTCATAAATATAACGCCCACGGCCCTGATTCTAAATAAGCCCGCTACCGCCCCAAATCCAACACCAATTCCAATCCTCGCCACAGCCACAGCCACCCCACGCAAACATAAATAAAACTTTTCATATTTATTTCAGAGCCCAACTTCAAATCGAAATCGCGCACAAAATGCATAAAATGCACAATAAAAATGCAAAATTATTTATAGCAAAGTTTCCACTTCGCTCCGGTCTGTTCCAAACCTGAAAAAAAAGAGAAATCATAGAAAATTTAAATAGTTTTCCCTCCACCGTTTGGGCCAGTCCAGAAAAAGATCCAAAGAAATACTTTATCCATGGAAATTTCGTTTTTGTTTGTTTGACATAAAGTTTTTCCTGGGCCCGGCAGGTGGTAAAGAGAAAAAAGAGAGAGATAGAGGGAGATAGAGGGAGAAAAGGTCTAAGCATTTCCCGAAGAAATTGAACTATCGCCTCGTATGTGGGCGGAGACTTGGCCAAAGTTTTTGGGGTAGGGAAGGAGGCAAATATTTATATATTCCTTGTCACAGAAAGTGAAATTAAAGTTTCTACACCAAAACAGAAAAACTAAACTAAACTACTTTAATAGTTTTCAACGCATAAGTCAGCCTCGAAGTCGAGAAAGGTAATGGCCAAAAATGAAATGGTAAACTGAGCAGATGAAAATGTTAGCCAACTTGTGCCCATATCCCACAAGTAATGCGATTTTTTTGGTGCGCTTCGAGTTAGAAAACAAAGCCTATTTGGGGCGAAATGCTTGGCAAAGTTTTAGATTAATACATAAAAAATGCTCATTCCACTGTATTCTTTATGGATGTAGGTCAGAAATGACTAATCTGGTATTAAATTTATTCTCTTTCCATTAAAATATTGTTCTCCATATTAAAATCCATTTATTAAACAACTGCACAGAGATCAATTTCAATATACAAGTCCCATCCAAATTTTGGTACTATTTTGTACATTTTTATAAAAATCTTTTGCCTGAACGAAAAATTATTTATACCAGGCAGAGCTATTTATTTTCGCAAATTAAAAACAGTTATGGTTTCCGAAATATTCACCAAGAATATGGTATTTAATTGCATCTATAATGCTATGAAACAGCTTAAAAGTGTATTGGTCTAATTTAAAGCACCAGATGAAGGATACTTAAGTTATGTGAAAAAAAGATGCACTACCTCCAAGAAAATAAAAATATACTTCTTTTAAGTAAAAATAACCTTGCCATAAAAAAACTATAGCATATTTAAAAAGTGGATAGCCCCAAATCTATCAGAAAAGTCGGTTTATTTCGAAAAAATTAAAGGGAAACATAAATAACAAGATAAACTAAACTTTTTCCAATAATTTGACTCTTTAAATTCCCAATTTCTCGCTGATAAAAAACAACCGTTTTATTCCATATTTTTTGTGACTATGTTAACACTTGTTTGTACACATTTCTCCAGCTCGTTCTCCACCTTGAGGGTATTTCATCGTATTCTTTTTCTGTTCATTTTCATATGCCAAATGTTGGTGTGTGTGCACTCCTGCAGGTCGCAACAAAGCCACGGAGCAGCACCGGCAAGGGCCAGGACGGGATGGGTAAGTGGAATCCGTATGCTGATTTTCATGCTCCGATGCTTGCGAACAAAATGAAAACATTCCGCTGTGCGATACCTTATCTGCTCTGCTTGGTTTAGTCTGCTTCTCCATTTGTATCTGTATCTGTATCTGTTCTGTGTTCTGTATTTTATATTTGTCCCTACTTCTGCAACCTGGGTTGCTCCTGATTGAGGTTCGGTTCAAAGATTCTCTTCATGCTGATGCTTTAGGTTGCCATTTGATGGAATTTCATGCTTCACCATTTTTCATCTCTCTCTCGATATTGTCCTCGATTTTTGGTTCTGTCGCAATCCTTAAGCTATCTGGACGAACAGAAATTATGCAAAAATCAACAGGGGACAACGATGAGCAGGAAATGACAACATTGACAAGGGCAACGCGCCACGAATATTTTTGGGCCCATGCAAAACGTGACACAAACGCAACGCACGAATTATTAATACAGAGAGACAATGGCAGGAGAAGCGAGCAGGACAGGACACGAAAGGAAGCCAAATTAGACCCAGTTGGGTTAACAGGAAGCGGAGACGAGACTGCCAGCACTGTAAACAAAGTCGGTTCTCGTAAAATCGAAAACGTTTGGTGCTTCATTAAACATTTACGCCTGGAAAACGAACCGAAATTAGGAGCCACAACATAGCAGATATTTAATTAAATTTGAAGAGCTCTTGCTTTAAGCAGACCATGCGGAAAAGTCAACAGGAATCACAGGGAATGGCAGATACTTCTATATTTAGTCAGAGATCAGTCAGAGGAAAAAAGAAAACTGGCGTACATATGTACATCTATGAAGAAAATAATTTTGCATACCATAAACAATCTCATAGCAACCAGACCACAAAGACAGCACAATGGATGATTTAAGCATCATTGAAGCGGATTAAATATCAAAAGGGGTTAATAAATTGTCTGCCTTGCAGTTGGCAAGGCCCAAGCATAGCCAGAACGAGCCAGAAATGGGCGCAAGGATAACTGCGTACAACGCTGCGTATGTGCAATGTGTGTGTAGAGGGGGTAGTGGTGGGGGTTGTCTTTATGTTATATATGGTTTTTTTGTTTGAGTGGCATGCATGGGCGTAGGGATGTGCCAGAACGGATAGGGCCATGGAGGCACATGGACTGAATCGTACATTTATTGCAACATGAAACATTATTTTGCATGGCCCCAAAAAAAAAGAAATGGGAAGAAGGAGGCTACGAAAAGGAGACAGTGAATGAGAATAAGAATGAAGAAGAGGGGAAATGGCACTGGCAAATGCGATGGCGTGGTGGTGGGGCGCCGAGGAAACCGGAGTGCGCGCGTTGGAAAATTGCAGTAAGGAAATGCGATGTCCTCGTTGCAGTTGGAATTTCCATGCAAAGTGGCAAGCGAATAAATATAAAAAATGCTTTTCTTTTCTACATTAGTGCACCATTTAAGGAAGTTGCTCCCCTGCCGCGCTGCGTCTTCAGATATTTCGCTGCGAGTTTGTCGTGTTTCATTTCCATTTTTTCCTCACAACTCCACCAGCAGCAGCAACAGCAACAGCAACAACAGGAGCAGCAAAAAATAAAGGAAACGTGCCGTAAACTACAGCAGACAATCAAAATGCATTCATGTGCGCTTACTTTACGTTATTTATAATCAAAGCCCGCACCGCCCCGTCCCGCCCAAGCCACCGTCCTCATCCTGTGCCATTCATGCCCCGGCATTGCCATTCATTCAGCTCTAAATTCCATTCACTGCGAATTGTAGCAAACAGTCAATGTGAATGGGCAAAGGCAAAGGCAACCAACCGACATCTTCTTCGACACTCCACTCCTCGAAGGAACTGCCTTCCTGCTGGGCAGGAATTCCCAGCCCGCATTGGCTGGAGTAATAAGGTTTCTCTCGCGGCCTTTCAACAATTTTTGGCTCATAGTACTACTTAAATTTAACAAGCATAAAAACACATATTAGATATTAATAAAAGTCTGGTAATGGAGGGTACACAAGACCAGACAAAACAGGAATTCAGATATATGTTTGAGGAAAAACAGCTGATAATTTCCACTAATTCGTACAAAACTTATAAATATGGTAAGTAAATTTGTTATTGGAAAAATTAACAAATCTGGCAATATTTTTTTTAAATAAACAAACAAACTAAAACATAACAAGTTTTAATCAAAATAATAAGAGTATTAATTATTTTTTTTCAGAATTTTTTCAGTTTAACTTTAGAGTACAGTATTTAATCTTTTAGAAATAAAGAGAGAGAGAGAGTTACTGATTTGATGAAAATAAATCGATGAATAGATAATGATAAATATTTTGATGAATGAATTGTTTTCAAGATCTGTATTCAGATATTTTAATTTATAAGGTTATCGAAGCAATAGATAGCTTTAAGAATAGATACAATTCTATTAACTTCTCCATATAATAACTTCAACATACAAATTTAGCAAAAAATACATTTCTATAATTTTCATAGATGGCCACATGAATGGTGTGCCACCTCAGAGCCGCGTCACTCCCGGACCCCCTCCTACCACCTTGAAAATGTTTTCCCATCAAAATCATCACAAATGTGAAAGTTTCCCTCTACGAGGGTATGGCATAAATTAATTGAATGGAACCCCAACAACAGAACAACGACTCATATGGCGAATGGCGAAAGAAAACTGGCTAAAAAAGGAAACTTTAACAAGGATGCTCTATGTGCTCTATGTGTTCTTCGGTTTATTGTGTTTTCCTCCACATTGTGCTCTCTTTCTCTCTGGGCAATAAATAAGCGAAACTGAACACAAAAATTCTGCAGAATGCTTTTGAGGGCCCCGGCAGGAGTAGCAGAAGCACCAATACAATGACACACAGGCAACGGTTAACGGTTAAGGACCCTGGGGCATGCGAAATAGTACCAGAATGAATTGAAATTATTTTACAACATTTCATGTTTCTTGCCGTTTGTTTGATTTGCCTTTGCCTTCGCTTTTACCGTTCTCCGATTCCTTTTGCTGTTTTTATTTCTCCCCACTTCTTTCTGTATGCATAATTTATGCTCGACTTCAGGCCAATTGTGGGGAAACGATGGCGCCAGGAGAGGAGTAGAGGGTGGCAGTTAGAGTGTAGCTTAAGCACAAAAATGTTGACCTAGAATATATGGAAATAATACATATGTATGTATGTTGCGGCATGCCACAAGTAATCTGAAATAGAAATGTCCAACAGATGTCCAAAAAGGACGTCCATTAGTACTCGTAAAATAAAAGAAAAATTCCCATTTTTGGTTTAAGGAAAATCCCCAAAGGAGAGTATAATTTTAGACCAATCAAAGAACCCAAAATAAGGCCCGAGTCCAGTCAATTTTGTCCAGAAGCACAAATTCGTATACTTATGCCACGAATACCATTAAGGACATGAAGTTCAAATCGCAAGTGTATCTCCAATAAAGTACAATCGAGGACTATACAATTAGCCCAAGTAGCCCACTGGCCAACTACTTATCTTCGTCTCTTCGTAAATGCAGCTTAGTCGCTCCCCAGAATTCAACAACAAAATACGCATTCTTTGGCGAGCCGCACAACTCGGTCTTTGATACAATCGAATGCAAAAATTATAACTGATCTTTTTCTAAGGAGTTCTGACGATATTGAAACCATGAAAATATATAGTTTAAGCTGGTATGAGGTGGATATTATTCCATGGAATGCAGTTGATTAAAATTCCCCATTTTGCACTAAGTAAGCAAAACTCTGCATTTTCTTAAGCTTTGAAAAAGTTCTGAGTGGTTTATAACACAAGTTTGAGTCTGCCTAAACTCAAGCACTCAAAATCTGCAAAGGAGCTCTCTCACACAATCCCAGCTTCCAGACACTTTCAAACCACAATTTGTGCCATTTTCAGAGATTGCCATTCCTGGTTCTGTGTGCCACAAAAATTTTAAATTAAACAAAATGCCAAAGTCTAACCCGTTCACCAGTGACCGACAGCACTCATAAACACTTTGTTCGAATAACAAATAAAAACAAAACGGAGAACAACAAAGAATAGCCTGATTGATAGCCGACTATGGGATACCTATTACAGGGATTTATAGTTTGGGCACCAGTAAAAAAATTATCTTAAATCCTATCAAATGGAAAAGTTGCTGAAATTATTTATAAATTACATAAATATCTATTGATTGATATTTTCCTTAGCTATCCTATATTTTAGACACTGTCAAGAAGTGACGACAATAAATAAGAATAAAGAGCTATCATGGTAATACAAATTGGGAATATCACAGCAGTTTCATCCAATAAAAATACAAACGGACAGGAAACTATTAAAACAGAAATACGATATACCTTCTTCGACCTTCGACCGCTGAGTACAAAAAGTGCAAAACAAGGAAAAAAAGTAACAAGAATTTACAAATGGCACAAACAAAAGCTAGAGAAATGTAACTAAGAGTTTGGGTTTTTGGTTGAGTTTTGTGTGTGGAGTTTTTGTGGGTGGGTTGAGTGGTATGCCCCACGCTCAAAGCAAATTGTTGCGGAAGGCAAGAATCAGCATTATCATCAGCAGTCGGGAAGCTGCTCAGTCGGTTATAGGATACTCATTCTCATTCTCATTTAGGGCAGAATGCAGATGAGGAGACAATGGGTGTGGGTGAGGCAGCGTCGCCTGTCGCATATTAATGAAGGGCATGCCGAAAGCGCTACCACCAATTTCTCAATATAACCACAAATCGGCATATAAAGTACATGCTGTATATATACATATATGGAAACATATATACTATACGCCATAAATTCTTACCAAAACTGCTTAAACTATTTAACATTCTTTATTTTTGTTTTTTTTTTGCTTTTCACGTTGTTTATTTTTTGGCTCCAATTTCACACTGAAATGCTAGTATATTCTCTTGTTTGTGCACTCCACTTTCCATTCACACAATAATTATTATTATTTCGCTTTGATTTCTGCCTCGATGGGGCAAACGTAACGTAATCTTTCGGAGAAACGCGCAACGGAACGCAGCGCCAGACAGGCGCAAGTGGGAACGCAACACGTGTGGCAGGACAAATACCGAACGATGGCCACACTACTCGACCGGCCGACGCAGGAATTCCAACTGAAAGCAGCCACGGATGACACTGGGGCAAGCCCCAAAGACCCCAACAAGAGGAGCAGCACTCCCACGAAGGCGTTCCGCACGAAGGCAACAGCCGAGTGACGCCTAAACGAGGGAGAGAGAGAGAGAGCAAGGACAATAAAGAGCCATGTGGCTGTGGCTAACGCAACTGCGTTAGATAAGAATGCGACCAAAAACCTCTATGGAAACCCATATTTTACTTATGTTTTTTGTTGGGTTTAGGGGAAACTAGCCACAGATTACTTACGGAATCAAAGTATCGCAATTAATTTATATCATACTCGTACGAGTAGTTGTTCAGCGTAAGCCCTAGGAGTACATTAACCTCTTCATCGAAAACAAGGCGCAACTGTGCCAAGAGCATAGCCATTGCGAGAGAATTACTCATGGAAAAGAGTCCTTTTACTCTTTCACTCAAACTAAACCAGTAAAAGAGCCCACAACTGCACGCCGAGGGTTAAATACCCTCAAATTTGCCAACGAATCTCCCGCCCAGAACAATATTTTTTTAATAAGTGTTTTGTTAGGTACTTTGTTCATTGGTCTAGACAAGACAAGACTTTTGATAGATCGTTCTTTTGTTAGCTATGATGTCGGATATTCTTCCTTCTCTGCGTTACAAACATCTAACCACTTTGCAGCAACTCTCCCAAAAAAATACAAATACAGGGAAATTTCAGATTTCTCTCAATCAGCTGTTTGCCCCATTGCGTGTGTGTTTGGGTGTGTGAGTTGAGTCCTTTAACATTGGAGGAGGTCAGGCATGGCGTAAAGTCAGTCGCATGTCCCTCATTTTTTCTTTTTTTGGTGTTACTGCTGCTGAGGAGCACAAAAAAGTCATGCACCCCTCGAAGTAAAGCAGGTCGCATGAAATTGGGAAGGAAATTCCATGCATTAATTAATTATTAATTGGATACATATTAGACTACGGTGTGCTACCAAAGGAAAGAGTTTTTAAATGGAAAATAGAAGAAGGAGTATACCCCTAAATAAAACAACAAATTAACTTTTCAGTCAAATAAACAATTTCAAATTTCAAAATTTACCCGCCAAACACCCAAAAGCTCAAGCAGTGCACAGCTTTCCACCAAGGACAGCCACCCACCTACGTGGTTGGTGCATTGGCTAAAAGCTCTCATTTCGGTGTTTTGCCACACATCTGTTGCTGGGAATTTTTCAACACCGACCACGGACGACCTCTAAACAACCTTTTGACGCCCGTTGATGGAATTTCACGTCAACGCCGACGTCGTCGTCAGCCGCGCAGCACAGCAGAGGCAGAGGCAGAGCAGCAGCAGCGATACAGACCGAAAATAAAAGCGTTGAGCTCTCTCCTCCAGTGCAGCAGCAGCAGCACACCCAGTCAGACGAACTTCCCCCAGATTTAGTCTCCAGTTCGGTGAGTGCGACGATAAGTGATAAAAATGTGTACCCCTTTTATCGGTGAAAAATAAGTGAATAAAAAGTGAGCCATCGAGGTGCATTCGATTCGGCTATTCGGGCTGCATTCTCGTAATCCTCAATGGGAAATTTTCCATTCCGTTAGACGGCTGTTTCGTAATCGTTACAAAATATTCCCACCCGAGTTTCTGTGTGTGTGTGTGTGTGTGTGATGGGAATTATTTCAACATACATATATTTATTTACGACATTTTCTAGAACCCTGTGTTGGAGCTTTCTCTAGTACAGTGGTCCGCCTGCTGGAGCGACACCCCTTTCGAGACCTGCTATCGGGTAACATCGGTCCACTCGCAGGAAGTTTTACTACCGGCTCAACCGGCTCTCTTTTCTTCCACACAGACAGCGGCAGAGACACGTCTCTCTCTTCTTCTGCCTTTTGCTGCCTGAGCTCATTTGGTTATTGGCAAAGTTTCAACTGCAATTTGTAGTCGCGGCTGCGGTCTTTCTTTATAAATAGTTGCCGCAAATGTTAGACATATTTGTATCTACATATGTATGTATATAATCTATCTTTTGCATTTAGGCTTCAATTAGCCAACGTCATCGCCAGTTTTTCGGTTTGTTGACTCCTCGGTCTCTCTCTGCCTCTCTCTGTACCTTTTATAAGTTTTATTCACCTTTCGTAATGGATGTATGACAGAGGTGTAATGCACTGTAAATTACAGCCGTATGGGCAAGAGCAACAAACTGAGAAACGAGAGATCTTCATCTACGACAGAGAGGGAGAGAGATACACTCAGAGAGAGAGAGAGAGAGGGGTGTTTGGCCGATAGAAACAACAAAGACTTCCTTATTTTGAAGGTCAACCCGAGGTACCTACAACCAAATTAGATAACAGAATGATATGGTGAATAAAAGAATGAATGAAGTCAGAGATAACTTGGACGTGGAGAAGATACTTTTCACTGCATTTACTCCAATAAATATCTCTACAGAAATTGCAGTGGAACGAACAGAGTTTGTATTTCCTTTACTCCCATGAAGATCTTTTTACCGAACTATGGGTCTTTGCACAGAGAGCAATTACTGTATATTTTCCCATATACTAACATCTTATCTTATAAGAGATAAAGAGATAAAAGAGGTCAAAGAATCACAGCAGATGGAAAGAGAGGAAACTTTTCTCAGCTGTTGTCCCTGTTGTCCCCCAAATTCTCCCTTGACGTCAGCATAGTTTCATTACATCAGCATCAGTGTAGGGGTTCTTATCAACGCACGCCGTGGACTGTGGCTGTTCTTTTGACCCACTGTCGTCTGGGGCGCCCTGGGAGGCCGGACCTAAAATCTCGTTATGATAATGTTGGAAAGACCTTTGGATCGTCTGTTCGGGGGGGGCTTGTTTTCTGTTTCAGATACGAAATGTGGCCACATCAGAGGAGCAGGCAGAGCTCGTTTCCAAAAATGTTCCACACAAGACACTCACTGTTTGTTTTTTCCAGTTCATGTCGTTCTCTTTTTTGTCGTTGCCCGTTTTATCAGCTTGTTTTTCGACACACAGATACGACCAATTCAATACTCGTGCATAGGGGAGGGCGACACATGTGTCGGTTTTATTTTTATACCAGTTCCTTGATAGCAACGTGAATTTACTTTGATTAGTGTCTTTGCTGTTGCTGTTCCATCTCTTCTTTTCTTATATATTTCTCCGACTTTCGAGCAGCGTTTCAGTCCTCATTGATTCCCCGACCCGTGTAGGTGTGTATTTTCAAAGTGAATCGGTTATAGATAGATTTCGCTGTCTATAGATACAGATAGCTATCTATCTATTCAAAGTGTTATATGGTGCTTTTATTGTATGAGATAGAACATTGTTTTTGACACGTTTCGTTTCGATGGTCTTATCTATAGATTTGGTATTTCTCTCTCCAGTCCTTGACTCAATGTCAATGTCAAACAAGTCAATACGTGTCTCTGGAACACAAAATTGTAGCCAAAATATCTTCCTATATGTGTATTTTTTCTACCCCTTCTCTCTCTCTTTCTCCGTGCACGCGCCGCACGAGTTTCTCAACAACATCTCAGCAACACGCAGCACTGTCTCTAGCAACATTGCTGCCGGCAACATTGCTGTTTGACCTTGTTCAATGTCGGGCCAAGAGCGCATGCCCACCCACCCACAGGCTGAAAGTGAAAGTTTCGACGTCACGCATTATGTGGGTGATAGAAAGAGATGGGTACAGCCAGTGGTATGAGAGAGTGCGCTGTGGCATACATACATATGTGTGTGTATATTGCTTCCAGGGCTTTGCCTTTGATTACATCAGAGGAGAGGTTGACGTCGAAAGCGCTTCCGAGACTTTGCTCAGTTACTAAAAAATCGTCGTCAGGGTTGGTTCACTCTCTCTCTCTCTCTAAAACGCTCTCTTTGGTTCTATATATTTAGTAGGTTTGCTTAAAGGGCAAATAGGTGAAAGTAATAACTCAAATAGTGTCATAAATCAAACAGGGCTTAGATACACAGAGTGGGGTGATTTAGCTGGAAGAAATATAGTTTTTGTTACTGTTTCCAATTGCAAATGTAATGAAGGAAAAAAGCTGAGCAACATTTTGTGTGTACTACGTGAAATGTGGAGGGACGGAGAGCGCACTCGCACTCGCGCTCCCACTCTCTCTCCCTCTCTTTTCTGCTGCCTCTTTGTTCTTGCCATCAGCTGTGTATTACACTAGCCAGCAAAGAATTTTTGGCAATGAAAAGAAATTCTTGCGTTCTATGGTAATCGTAAAGATATATGATGAAGAAGAGACCCACAAAATCTGGTTATTATGTGGTGTCCGCGCAGGTGAAATTTAATAAATTGAAGTGAATAAATAACCACGCCTATATCTGAACTTAGGGACTTAAGGGGATCGAAAGATTTTAAACTCAAAACACAAATCTGACAAGTCGTTTCCAAATGTATCCTTCGCATTAGTGGTCTTATATTCTAAACACAGATAATATCTTTCAAAATTGAGTACACATATTTTTGCTGGTGTCGCGTTCACATATAAGCCGTCAAAATTCTTCGTTTAGGACTTTCTTTGGTGTCCTGCAAGCCATTGCAGAACCCAGTTTATCGCCTACTAACATGTCACGAACACTCTCTTTCTTCTTGCCACAACTGCGCGAATCCGTCGCAACCATCAATTGGAAAAAAATGGACTCGCATCTTGCAGAACTACACTCGAATCTCAAACATGACCACCTACTTCAACTACCCCAGCAAGGAGCTGCAGGATGAGCTGAGGGGCATTGCCCAGGCCATTGTCGCACCCGGCAAGGGTATTCTGGCCGCCGACGAGTCCGTCTCGACCATGGGCAAGCGTCTGCAAGACATTGGCGTGGAGAACAGCGACGAGAACCGTCGTGCCTACCGTCAGCTGCTGTTCAGCACCGACCCCAAGCTGGCTGAGAACATCTCCGGCGTGATCCTGTTCCACGAGACCCTCTACCAGAAGGCCGATGACGGCACTCCCTTCGTTGATATCCTCAAGAAGAAGGGCATCATTCCCGGAATCAAGGTCGACAAGGGTGTCGTCCCACTGTTCGGCTCCGAGGATGAGGTCACCACCCAGGGCCTCGACGATCTGGCCGCTCGCTGCGCCCAGTACAAGAAGGACGGCTGCGACTTCGCCAAGTGGCGTTGCGTGCTGAAGATCGGCAAGAACACCCCATCCTACCAGTCCATCCTGGAGAACGCCAACGTGTTGGCCCGCTACGCTTCCATCTGCCAGTCGCAGCGCATCGTGCCCATTGTGGAGCCCGAGGTTCTGCCCGATGGCGATCACGATCTGGACCGTGCCCAGAAGGTCACCGAGACCGTCCTGGCCGCCGTCTACAAGGCTCTGAGCGACCACCACGTCTACCTGGAGGGTACTCTGCTGAAGCCCAACATGGTCACCGCTGGCCAGTCCGCCAAGAAGAACACCCCCCAGGAGATCGGCCTGGCCACCGTCTTGGCTCTGCGCCGCACTGTCCCCGCCGCCGTCACCGGTGAGTCCATCCGCGAGCCCTTCTATTCTGTTCTTCAACTAAATGATCTCTTGTTTAGGTGTCACCTTCCTGTCGGGAGGCCAGTCTGAGGAGGAGGCCACCGTCAACCTGAGCGCCATCAACAATGTTCCTCTGGGCCGCCCATGGGCCCTGACCTTCTCGTACGGTCGTGCCCTGCAGGCCTCCGTGCTGAAGGCCTGGGGAGGCAAGAAGGAGAACATTGCCGCCGGTCAGAACGAGCTGCTGAAGCGCGCCAGGGTGAGTTTTCTACTCCTTGAACGGATCTATATAAGATTGGGTCTATCTAAGTGGTGTCTAGTAATATAAGCGCTGGGTGACAGAATATTTTCCATGGTATAAGCCCCATTATCGACCTATGTATATAAACCACACAATCCCAACCTATTGATCCCATTATGAAACGAAATTGCTTCCTATCTTATCTCCAATCGAAGTAATCCTCATTCTTAACCTTTAATCGATTTCATTATCTTATCCAGGCAATCCTAACTCACATTCTTATCATTTAAGTCGTAAAATGATTTCATTATCGGTTTCAAGAGCAAAGAGAAATTCCTTTCAATTTAATCGTTAATCGAGTTCATTCATTAATCAACTAATTTCCAGAATCAATCCTAATTCTTAAACACATTGAACCGATAATCTCGCTCTAATCTCAATCCTAAACTCATACTCAGGCTAATAGTGCGGCCAGCTGTGGCTGCTACGAGGCTGGTTCTGTTTCCGGTGCTGCTGGTGTGGATACATTGCATGTGGATGATCACAGATACTGAAAGCAAGAAAGAGATGTACAATGATGTAATATTCGATAAAAGATGCAATATTTTGCAATATAATGAACATAAACCCATTAAAAAACCCCACAGACATTAACAGAATGCTTTCCCATGATTAACTCTTCCATTCCATATTCAACCTATTCGCATGCATTAACCCCCATGCACGCTTCGGTAGATGTAACCCTAATCCCGAAACCCAACAAATGCTCCCTAATGGACTAATCCCAACCACAATCCTACCGCTCTCCTTCCTTCCCGCACCGCACAGGCCAACGCTCTAGCTTCCCAGGGCAAATACGTGGCCGGCTCGATTCCCTCGTACGCCGCCAATACCAGCCTCTTTATTGCTGGCCACAAATACTAAATAAAAAGCACAGACCTAACACCGAGTAAGAGCCCCAATCAAAATGCAATAACCTCAGGCTGAACTCTGCACTTGACTCGAAGGGCCTGGAGCTGAACTGCGACTGGCAGACATTCCACTACACATGGATCACTTTCTTTTATTAGACTTTCCTATACACTATATATTTACTGACTAGACTTTATGATCGTAATATGTTGCTGATGATCTGATACTTCAAATTCAGACAAAGACAAACCGACAAGCAAAATAAATTATCTATTAAATTTTACACACTTCTCTGTTTCATGATTTAATCTATTTATATTAATTGTATATTAGTTAAGGTTAATATATATTTTGTATATTTTTTTTAAATCTATAATTTTTTATACACTTAAGGCGAACGTTAAACTTATTGTGGGCTAACCAGACACCCCCATTCACAAGAATTGGGTTCGTCTTTTCACCACTTCTAGTGGACTCGTACTGGAGTTTTTAGAGTACTTACATTTAATCGAATCGGGCTGTTCCTCAAAGAAGTTTTTAAGTTTTCCTGGTATTTGTGGGCGTAAAATGTTCCTGTGAAAAGTGCCGCAGGTGGGCGGGAAAAGTTTTCGAGTGAAGCGAAAATCACAGGGGGAAAACTTGAAAGAGTCAACGAGATGGCAAAATACAACTTTTGTGCTGTGGCATCCAAAGTTATGAGTTAAGGTATAATTAAGGAAAATTGTTTGCAACTAAGCGAGGAAATGGGTTAGTGTTTTCCACATGATACTAATGCTGTAACTTGACTTTTCTTTTCGCAGGCTAACGGCGAAGCCTCCGTCGGCAAGTACGTGGCCGGCACCGCTGGCAGCGGCTCTGGCTCTCTGTTCGTGGCCAACCACGCCTACTAAGGAGCTGCGGCAATTCGCCCACCAACACACACATATATTTATACATATATCTATCTATAAAGCAGATTGCTTGAAATGTTTGATTTTTGGCAGATTTGTTTCTTTCTATTTAACTTAGTTTCGAGAGCTAAGCAGCAAGCATATAAAAACCCAAAAAAAATACAAAAAACGAAAGATTACAACACAATAATGTTATAATGTTATCATATATTTGAGAATTGAATACATAAACAGCCCCCAACAGATATAATTAAACAAACAAAAAAGTGAATACATATATTAAAGAGAATTATGTTGATTGAGACGCAAACTCATCTTTAGTTGTAAGCACACAAGAAACACAATTGTTGAAGTTATGCAATTTCTATATCTATCACTATGATTACTATGAGTAAGATTTCAATGTGGAAGTGCATAGGTCGTAAATCGTTTGAAGCATACTAAAAAAAAAACTAAATAAAACCTCCTCTAAGAACATCTCTAGCACAATCAACATCCAAGAACCTGTTGGTCTCTGTTGTCGCGGAAGCATTGAAATCGCACAAATGTTTTTATTACTTTTTTAAACGTTTGTATACAAAACTGTTAAATGAAAAACGAACGTTTTATTATTATTATTATTATTACAATTTATATTTATGATTAAATAAGTATAAGTGAAAATACAACAAATGACGCAAATAAACAAACACAATACAACAAAAAAAACCCCAACAGCAACAATCACAAGAACCACAAGAACATTCATTCAATGTGAAAAATCAAATTGCTGTTACCAAAAAAAAAAAACAAGAATATATAGGCCACGGTGCAGCAGTGCATCGTGCGATTGTTACTCGTGTTTATCGTTTCCACCCACTGAGCCACGATCCAAAATGTGTGATCGATATCGATTGTATCCGATCAAACTAAACTAACCCAACAATAATGTGCATATATTCCTGTGTACATGTCTATCATATTTATATTTATCATATGCATATACATATGTCTTATTTATTTATATGTTAATCAAAATTCGATATCTGCACCTGTTAATCGAAAGAAAAGAAGCATGGCATACAGAAAAATACCTGTAATTTAATGAGAAAACGAACAAAACCACAACAACAACAGAAAACACCACCAGGAACTGAAAAAACAACTAAATGTTCCACAAATATTGAAGAAATGAACATCACAAAATTAATTAAGGGTGTTTGTTGAACGAACATCATTCAATAAAAGAACCTAAAGAGCAAAAACAAAAACATTGAACGAAATCTTTTCATTTTAACTTGATCAGGGATCAGTGATGGATTTCTTTCGATATGGCACATGATTAGATATTCATTGCATTAGATTTTCAGAATTGGGGTGTACAAATAGTGCGATCCATCATCAGCATTCAAAATATGATAGATGTCAACTGATACATGATGCACAGTACATTAATACTTAGACAGGAAATGTATTGAATATGCGCTAGAGCAACATACAGTTAAAGAAGCACTGGAGCCTAACCAGGACTCAGTTCTATTTTCAATTGAAATCCAAGAAATTCGCTCTGGGGGCTATGTTGAGTGGGCAAAGCTAGCAGAAGTCGAGAAATGTAGGGAACCTAGGCACTTACAATTCAAATTTAATCAATTACTAAAAACAAAACTTTGAAAATCTTGAGTTAAGATTAATTATATTTGTATTGTTTGCTGCTGAGAGTGGCTTTAGTTGACAGCTATAATTTATAGTTGGGTTATCGTAATGAACAAAGAAAGAAAGAGAACAAAAACGACGAAAACTTGTTCTAGAAAACGTTTAACCATCGATTTCCGTTGTTTCCTTAATTTTCTTGCTCTTGAGACGTGCTAATGCGAGAGCGGTCCGTGTGCCCTTTGGCACAACCTGATCGGATTCTGGTGGAAGGCTATGCATGCTATTGGCAATAGGTTCCAAGGTATGATCAGCTGCGAAAAGGACTTTGGGTGGTTGGGGTTTCACTCTCAATACGGGTGGTCTGGGAACAGGAATCCCAGCGAATATCTTGTCATATAGTGATACCGAGTAATCGGTGCGGATAATGCAGATATGGATGGGGGAGCCAGAATACAGATCGTTTCTTATGCCAGATCTCACCGCATCGATGGCTAGAGACTCTGCACTCTTCTCGTCGAGACTTGCGTTCCAGCCTTTTTCCAGCACAGGTAGGGCAGCACAGTTTCCCGAGCCCTGAGCTGCGAAGGGAATCTTTGTCGTGCTACCCTCAAACCATGTGGAATAGAGACTGGGCCCCCCATTGTCAACCCCACCGATCAGCATGGTGATCTTGATGTTGCCCTGATAGCGGTACAGCATATGCTTGACAAAATGGTTAGCGCAGACGACAGGCACCTTGCACCCCATTTGGAGTTGATGCAGATCCATTTCGGCGCGAGTGAGGCGTGCGACCTGGTGTAGATCGCCACAGACCCCGGATCCACCTGCGCTGTATTATCAGGATTCATTAGAACGATAAGCAGATGTGGCACAACCACCAACAAATACTCACTAAATGTTCTCCTGCAAGCGATATATTTTCTTCATACAATTTGTGGTTATCCTGCCGTCGGCTGTCCCCTGTCTGTCGGTGGCCAGGATGACGCCGTCACGGTACTTTATACCCACGACAGTGGAGCCGGTGGTCGTTGGCGGCTTAGGAATAAATCCTTCGCGCTCAGCAAGTTGGTTGTCGCTGCAGATTGTTTCATATAGAATATGAGCAAGTGGCAGAGAGTGGTATTAACTGGTACCAAAAATCCAAAACACGGAGCACGGGACATACTTACCGTTCGCGATTGTCAAAGTTGAATCCTGTTGAATTTCTTTGGAATAGCGATTGGCTAGGCGCCTGGAGATTTGGGGTAATGTTTAACATTATGTATTTATAGGATTTTTATATGATATTTTGAACAATGTTCGAATGTTAAATCCCGGACTACGTGTGATCTTTTAAGTTGTTTAGCCTATGGCCTCCGGTCCTCTCCAGGCCTTACGATTTTTGCAGCGCGCCTAATAAGATGTTATTTTGGAACTCTTTGACACGACCCATTTCCGGTATGAGTTCACATATCATTTTGATGAAATATTTGCACCCAAAAAATCAATTTTGTATCGCAATCATTTTTCTTGTTTCGATGGCAGCATGTGCTGCCGCTTTCTATAAACGGTACTAGCAGATACGAAAGGTATATTCTATTCACGTGCATTTTGCCAGACAAAGTATCCAACGAATATCAAGAGAAAAGTATTTTTCTTTGTCAATATCTATTAAATGTCCCGGGTATCCCACAGTCGAAATACTGTGCCATTACGATTTTGTTTTTCATTGACCACAAGTTCAAGACCACCAGACAGCCTCGAGGCAGAGCAAGAATCTTTGTTCCTCTCTTAGTCTGTAATTTTATTGAATTTTGGTCGCATTTCGTTCGATTTCAATTTACAATTTCCTTAGTTGTAAATGCAAATGTAAACACGAGCGCAACCAGCGACGTAATCTGTGCACTGATCCATTTTCAATATAGCTTCTGTTCTGCTTTTGCCTCTGCTGCTGCTGCTGCTGCAGCTGTTGGCTGCTGTCCGGAGTGCAAAGTTCGCTTAATCGTAACCAAATCCAATGCCCAACGCACCAGACACGGACGAGCCGAAGATTCTCAGGGGCCTTGGAGTATGGCAATGGAGGAACGGAGAGACGCTGACGACTCTGGGGGCAATGTAATTGCCATTGCAAGGGACAGAGGGTGCACGGGGGGAGGCATAGCTTTGGAGGTCACTGATTTACAGCATCGAGGAGAACATTCATTTGATGAGCCATTGCGTCATTTGTGGTCTTCGATTGCAGGCAATTTTGCACGGCTCTCAGTTCATTGCCGTGAACTAAGGATGGTAAAATGATCGATATTTATTTAGCCTTTGGATATTGTGCATGGCTTTTGAGTTCCACTTAAATTGAGGTCAGAAGATTTTATACACTTCAATTTGCGGGAGTTGCTTGTTCCTATGAATATATATAATCTCATTAACACCGGCATTGTACCTGTACAATTTTCACGTGTACAAAATATCCTACTTTGAGCACAGCTCCCTTCGAAATGTAGCGGAAATGTTGCACAAAGCTGGGGTTAACACTCATGTCGAAGCAGAGAAGGGTGAAAATATAAGAGAGAAAGCAACAAAAGGCTTGCTGACATTTGGCATCCTGATCCATCCAGCCTGTGGCAGTGTCAACATTTCCGTTGTCATTCACTCGCTATCTGCCCCTCTGTCTCTGTCTCTCTCTTTCTGCGCCTCTGTCCCTATACCATTTGCTGTGGCATCTGTTGGGCTGATGGGCGGCACTGGTGCTAGCTGCTGGCACAAAGATTGTCCACAAAAGTGGAATTAATTGTATTTGCATAGCATGTAAACATCATCACGTTGCCGGCAGGATCTCGCCCTGCTGCTGCTGTGGCTGCCATTGTCAGCCAGTCGCAACAATTTCGAAACTGTTCACTCTTTCCCAACCCCAAGCTGCCACCCACACAACAGCCATTGTATCCTTCGGCTTCCTGCGGTGCAATTGTGATTTTGCCTTGTCCTGGCACGTTGCTGATTACGCTCCAAGGAGAGACCAGAAACTAGAAAGGAGCAAGGCGACATAAATATCAACTGCACGTCATGTGGCGTCAAAGAGGAAGTGGAAGTCGAAGGCGCAGTCGAGGCACGCAAATGTTGCGCCATCAACGTGTTCAGGCGGAAATTGACACGCCGTGGGATGCTCGATGTGCCCTGAGCCAGAGCCAGAGCCAGAGCCCAGAACTCAAGACTGCAAGTGATTGAGCTGTGGATAATTCAAAGCCCTGCTACATCAATTATTGTAAATGCCCCGCCCCGAAAGCCAAATCGATACGAAATCATTTCGCCCCCTCATTCCTGGATACGCGCAGAGATGTCCTTTCTCCCGTTTCACATGACCTGACCCAATCATGGCCAGGGATAACCACATTGCGGCCAGCCAGCTCCTCGCCAACTGTAATTGCAGGTGGCTTCTACGTGCTCCCCACATGCGGTCATGAGTGTGTGTCTCTCTCTGTCTCTCTCTCTGCCACTTTATGTATATATGAGTAGTTTCTAATTAGCAGCAAACACCACTCGAGGGCCCAATAACAAAACCAAACGCGTGACACCAACGCCAACGCAGCAAAAATAGCTCAAAACGAGCTTCGCCAACAACGAAGGCACCACCAGAGCCAAGCCACAGCAGCGTCCGCTCCCAGATGCATTAGATTGGTCACCAATGGCTGCACAGTGGTCACAGACATCGGAGATGTACGAATTAAAAGTGAGATAACTGAAGGTACACATAGAAGGCAAGAAATAAGGAAGATAAGGAAAGATCTGTATAGGGGATAATTATAACAAGCCGATATCCGTATATAACAGCTTCTTTAAAACTTCAACTAGATATAATCAAACTACTTACCGAGAAAGATATACAGTAATAACCTAGTCGGAGAGGTTTCTCATTACAGAACGATATATCAAGAATCTATTAGAACAACCCGCTCAAAATTATCAATAGATATGCATAAAATCTGGATAAAATACGTATATTTATGTAGGTAAGAGTAGATGCAGAATGCATCGAAGCTATTCGCAGGACTCTGTTTTTTGTTATTCTTAAAGATTCGTAAAAATTAGATCCCTATTATGCATATAAGATTCTTAAGAATTCCAGCAGGAATCATTTTAACCATCCTGTGTAATTCCTTATAGCTCGTATTTACGGAATGTTTCTTAATTATTTACTAAATCTGTTTCAAGACCTTCCCAATGATTTCCATTGTCAGTTGGTCAGTCCAAATGTCCTTTTCCTTTCCTCCTTCCTCTTTCCTATTGCCACTATTTCATCCTCCTTCTGTCTTTCCCTTTTCGGTTTCCCTTGGGGCTTGTGTGTGCATTTTGGGCCATGTGCGTTGTCGTCGTCGTCGTCGCCGTTGCCGTCGTCGTCGTCATGGCGGCCAATGTGAAGGTCGATCGATCCATTTGCTACTCCCAGCCATTGTCCACCCGTACTTCTCTTGCCATCCAACAGCCAACCCTTTTCGTTCCTCCCCTCCACGATTCCCTCCCTCGTCATGGCAATTTATGTTCATTGAGTTGATGTTGATTTGTGCGCCGCGGCATGATTTTTTAATGGAATGTATATTTTTGCGGGGCGTGTGGAGAGTCCAGTGGAATCGTAGACCGGCAGACGGGCGTGCACTCGACTGCATTTTGGCCCACTACATTGGCCGTGCGCCAAGTGCAACGTCGAAACGAGCGACACAAATTGTTTGGCGCTTGCATTCTGCTGTCGTCTCTTTCACTCGTTGACTGTCTGTCTCTCTCCATTTCGGAATCTCTTTCTCACGCGTTGTCTGGCTATGCATTCTTGTGTTAAAATAATGGCAATCTGTTATTCAAAGTATTTCAAAATGTCACAATGCTGTTAAAACATCCATGGGAACGGTGGCTGAGCCATTCAAATTCTACAATTGCTGTCAATATAAATAAAGTTCGACTTAGTTCCTGAAATCTGAATCGATACAAGCTGTTTTATCTATATTTGTAGTCTGTTAAAATCGTATGGGGCAATGTGAATGTAAAATTTATTGACTAATTTTCCTACTTTCAATCATCTGCAAAGACATTCTCCCATTTTAAAATGGTTTAAAGCTTTGTAAGATCATCTCAAAGTAAAACATCTCATAAACTATGAGGGAGGATCTGAACAACAAAACCGCATTTCAAACAGTAAAACCGCAAGGAAATTTACTGACTTCTGGTCCTGATTTGCCATTGTTGGAAAACAGTTTGGGTGTTGAGCAACCCACTCCATTCCGAGCATGAATAAATTACATAAGCCGAAACAATTAATTGTAGCACTCATTTTGTGCTTCTTATGGAGCTTAACAAAAACATGCAACAAGAGGCAATCCCAGCCGAATTTTGACAAATCCATTTATCTTATTTGCACGCATTCGCTGCCACACTCGACAGAGTAAATAAATTGAAAGCCCGAGAGCTGGCACTCAGTCGGAGGAGTATTTTCCATCTACAGATTGAATGCTCGTGCTTGCTTCGTGGCTGTCAGCGGAAGCTGGAACTGTGCCTGGCTTATATTTATAATAGTATATGAAGAAAATCTCAAAATGCTTTTCATTACATGCTCCTGACTCATTTCGTGCTGTTACGTGACCCGCTACCATCTCCAATGAATGCTACTGCGCGCCGGTTCTCGTGGGAAAGCGGAGTCGCCGCACGGCAGAGAGAGGAAGAGTTTGCGGTAGATTGCTGTAAATCTTATGCGATACTCGTACACGATTCGTAAATGGCGCCGCCAGCCAGCTGCAGTGCCGCCTCAATGAGATATTGTCAGTGGAGTGGAAATGGGGGTGAAGTGGAGTGGAGCAAACTGCCAGGTGAATGAACGAAAGAGTGTTGTCGCGTCTCAGACTTTCACTCCGATTGCATCATAGAACTTTCCCAACACGCCTTGACATTCTCTCTGTCCCCGCTCACGTGCAATTAAAATGCCTTTAAAATGCAATCTGTGCGACATCGCGTGAGTTTTCGCTGGTTTGTGGCTGCCGTTTTGCGGGTGCTTGCATAATAGCCGCGATTTCCCGGGAACTTCTGAGTGCGGCGGGGGAGAGGGAGCGGTCTGGAAGTAATTATATGTGCAAATATTTTCTAACGAGCAAATGCAATGAATACCATTTAATTGACATGGCTGGGCAGGAGAGGGCCAACGTTTTGCAATCATGAATGTGTAATGAGAGAGAACTCATTATAGTCTTTATCTGTAGTCTCTGTAGATTTTTCTCTTTTGCCGTATTTTTCTTGGTATGAAAAATGCAAAGCCTTTTAGCAGCTTACATGGAAATCCCCTGCCTTGAAAAAGTGCAACATAAATGGGATTTCAATTGGAATTGGAATGCGCTCAAGGACTTCTTCAGAAGTGTTACAAACCAGCATCAATGGAGGGCAATCAGCTGATAAATTATTCTTTTGAAGGCTAATTAGTGGAAAATAAGAAACAGAGGCAGGTAAGAAGCTCAAATAAATCCACATAATGGCAGTCCAAAAATAAAATGTTAAGAGAATTTCAAATTATTATTTGTTTAGTTGATACATTTTTTCTACGAAATGCTCCACACTATAAACAAACCCCAAATGTTCAACAATTGTAAAAAAATAAACACTCGTACAAAAACCAAAGAAAAAAAATTAAAAAAGGGAATCAAGTTTTACGACAGAAGCAAAAAAAATTGTATTGGCCCGCACGGCCGAAACATATTGCGTATACGTCAGTGGCTGAGACCCTTAACCTTAACCACAGTCGTAGCCCTGCCTAGCCAGGGAAATGAGAGGACGCAGAGGATCAAGAACTAAGCCAGAGGCAAAGTAGGTCCGCTCCCATCGCCATCGCCGGGCCAAAGGAAACTCTGATTTCACAACCCACTTTATGTCCTTTTGTTAGCGGGAAAGTCCTTCGCTGTCAGCCAGCCAGCACGTGAAGCTGACAAAATATTTTGGCATAATTAACTCCTGCCCCGACAAAGGGCTCGAAGGATATCTCGTGGGAGTGCCACCGCCCACCGCCCACTCGTGCAATTAAAGTTTATGCCAATGCGAAACGCACAAAAGCTATTTTACCATTTAGATTTCCCATTAAAGATTGTCAAATAGAACAAAACTGTGCGAAAACTGTGTCAAACTGTGGAGAAACTGTTGAATTTTCAACTTTTCACTTCGATTCGTCGGAGGAGTGCATTTCCAGAGGCAATGTAGTTGGAGCTGCCTGCCTCTGCTTATTCTTTGCCACTTGAAATGTGTCTTGCGCTCAGTTGATTTTTGAAATTAATTGAAATTGCTTGTTCTGAAGGGCGAGGCGTGGTGAAGGGACAAGAGGACTCAGTCTTCAAATTGAAATGCTCAGTTTTGAAGCCACTGTCCCAGTCGGATGTCTTAAGCTCCAGTTCTTTAGATGAAACGAATCGAGGCAGTGAGAGGCTCAAGTGGCTTTGGCATTGAACAAACTTTTCACAGATATTTAGCTGGTTGAGAGCGCAAATTGAAAAGGTTTCCTGGCTGCCTGGATTAGGTGAATTGTTAATTTGAAATGGAAAAGTTTGAGTCCGGATAATGGGACGAGCTCTTTCTCCTCTATGAGCGGGTGTCTCTGAATAGCTGTCCACATTTCAATTCAGCTCTATTCCCACCGCGACTGAGCATTCTTTACTTTGCACTTTCCACTTTGGTCACACTCAATAGCCGTGCGTATGCTAAGTGCAATCATTAGCAAATCATTCATGAATCACGTGAATTGTGCTCGTAACTGCAGGAGCCACTAAGTCCAGAACTTAAAAAATTACGGAGGAGGAGGGGAATATCACTAAGAAAAGTCGAAAAGTCACACAAAAACAAAGAAAAAAAACAACGAAGCTCACTAAAGAAAAGAATTAATACGTCGAAATACCTCGTACTCCGGTAAGACATATTTTTACTCATGACAAAAAAACCTGGAATGCATAGAAATTTTCCAACCTAAATCTCGAAAATTACAAAACCCAGAGAAAAAAGTCGTGCAGTTTACAATTCACTTTCCGACTTAAAATGAATACCAATATATTTTCTACGAGAGTGGAAATTGTAGTGTTTTCACTATTGTTTCTATTTTTTGTATGATATTTTTCTCCGAGTGTATGGTTTCTGCAGCTGCTCTAGTCCCGGTATTCTTTTCTTTCATGCAGACAATGAAATTCAGATCCAAAAACTATACACATTTTGAGCTCGCAAAACCTTTTCTCAGTCTGTCACATATTGCACACGAATGACATATACCCCTGTTCCCAAAAATCACTTGGCATAAGTTCTTTTTTGTGGCGTCAGTGTCATTGTCAATGCAAAAGAGAGCGTGGGGAAGAAGTAGCCAAAGTTGAAGGCGAGACAGTTTTTTAATGCATTGCTTGTCTGCCGCGTATTGCATTTTGCCTTCAATCAATACTTTGAACCCCTGACTGAGTGGCCGACTGCCCGATTGGCTGGCTGACTGACTGACTGACTGCCCGCCCGGCATTTCATTTTGATTGATGTGCGCTGATTTATATTGATTTCTCCTTTTTGCATTTTTATTTGCATAAAGTGCAAAAATGTGCTCAGCTCGCCCATTGGGATGCCGGGCGCGATGTCGTGGATGCCTCAAGTTCAGGCGACTAAGCAATTAAAGCAGCAGCAACAACAAACGAAAACTGCAAATCAATCAGGGGGGCGCGGGGGAAAGTCGCGAGTCGATCAGACCGAGACGGCGACGCATAAATTTCATTAAGCTGCCAGCTGTCGCTTAAACAAATTCAAGAAAGTCGAGACTTTGACACGGCTTCGGCTTCAGTGGGGCACCCAATCCATCGGGTTGAGAGACCTCAGAACTGGGAGATAAACTGCGCGTCTCTCTCAGCTGGAGAACAGTACGTTTTCGCCACAAACCTCGTTGTATTAGCCGGAATGCATTTCTATTTCAAAAGCTGTTTATAAATAGCCGGGCAGCGCCAAAGGCTACACAATCTAGAACAATTCACCTGACAGAGCCACTGCCACAGACAACTTTCAATGCTGCTTTCCCAGTTGACTTGACCCGACTTTTTTCATGACTTTCACTGCTTTTGGAATTCAATTCGCCTTTTTTTCCCTCACATGCTCCACGTGGCTTTTGTTCTTGGCCATGCGGAAATTGTTTTAGCCGCAGCAGCCAAAAATTTCGTTATCCTCAAAAACTTTTTCTACTCTCTTTTGGGCAGCATCCTCTCGTAAGGAACGGAAGGAAGCAGGGGCCACTAAAGTTTGCCACAAATAACAAAAAAAAAACAGAGACAGAAAAAAGGCCAAACAAAGAAGTAATATTAATAGGATTTTGGCTAATATTTGGCTAATGAGTATGTAGAGGGGCATCTCCAAAGTGCCTAAACAATTTACGGCCCTCCAATGTTAAGGCCCAGAAACGGAATTTTGTTCGAAAGTGTAAAAGTATACAGTTTATTGAATTTAAACTTATCCTTGAATGTTAATTTAAAAGGAAAAATCATTTAAGCGGCTTTGTGTGTAAGGAGATACTTGGATATATTTCCGATTTTTGGCTAGTACTCGTATGCGAGATTAAGATGAAAAGAAGCGGATGTAAATACTCTATATACTTGAAGCCGTTATTTGTCATTTGTTCAGTGACAGAACGTAGTTGATAACGTTCATCTCGTGCCTCTCCCGATTGAAATTTACCCAATTCCGAAATGCTCACACGCACACTTTTGTTACAAACACACACAAAAATTGACTAAATTGATGTTTCAGCACAAATTTTGGTTGCTCATATAAGCTCTGAGAACTAGGCGTCAAACAAGACCGCCAGTCGCCAGATTGACAGACATGGCTATATCGACTCGGCTATGGGAGCTGCTCAAGAATTTATACTTTATGGAATGAGAACGCTTTCTTACGGGCGTCACACACATCCACTTTCCCCACAAATCTAATATACTATACTCTACATATAACCTTTTTAAGTAACGAAAAAATACAGAGTAGTGTCTTAATGTTTATTGCCAAAAGTAGAGAACAAATAAGGCAACGATTCTCGATGGATGAAAATCTAGTCGAAGCGTTCGTCAAAGCTGGACTCAGATCATCCTGTCATAAGAACCCATTATAATGTGCACACTCTCTTTCCGCTTCGCTTAAAAGAAGTATCTGCAAATGCATAAGCTTAAATTGGTTTTGAAGTTTTTCTCTTACTAAAAATATGTACCAATCCATTGCGTTGATCCTGTCATATTTTCCGTGCCATATCGTTATCGATTTGAAATTTTGGAAATATTTGTTGTGTACACGTCATCATTTGAGGAAGTTTGGGTTATTTCAATGGTAACCACATTGTATACTGCATCATCATTGTCATTGTGTCAGATGAATAATACTGTCAGATGTTCCACCTTCCGGTTAGCTTTTTAGAGTGTAGTGATATTTACGCATACAGCCACGGAATAGGAACTATCAATCGGAATGAAGAAGTTTGGATTATTTCACTGGTAAGAATATAAGCTCATGTAACGAATAGTCATTCGAGTGTCAGATGTATACAAAATATCCGATTAGTCCGAGTAGTCCTGGTTGACTTTAGAATTTGAAAATTTGTTTCCATAAAGCCAGGGAACAGGAACATGTTTTTGTTTGATATAGAACCTTTTACATTTCCCTCCCACATAGGGCCAATGGGGAAAATATTTGCTGCACAAAATAGATGAAGATCACAGGAAATAAGCCAAAATGTTGGAGTTTTGTTGCGCCTCCTTTTCTCCCTTTTCTCTTTTTTCTACTGTGCTCTTCTATTTCATGGCACGGACACCCCATTGGATCTGATTCTGTGTTCCAATTCCATTTGGCACATACAGAGCAAGGGTTTCTATTATAGGATTTGCTTCTTAGTTGCTGACAACCCGTCTGAGGTGTCCAGAAGCAACACATTTGGCTAATTGCCTCTGAAATTGTAAAAAATAAACTGGTTACCCTATAGGTTACAATAGCAGTAGAAATAATCGAATTCGCATACTTTTGTTGATAAAATAATAATGTTTGGGTAGGCACTCCGCCAAGGAATCCAAGCCCGCCGATAAATTGCCGTCGTGACTGTAATGCAACTCAATCCTGTCATACTGTGAGGGACAAAAAGAGCCAGTCGTTTCGATTCTGCAATCCTGTTGAGCGTCACATTGTCCACATTCCATTGACCTTAAATACTCCGGTATAAGTTCCTTCTGGCCATTGGCCACTGCTGCGATGAACGCGAAAATTACGTAAAAGAAGAGCCCGGACATTTTTGCTGTGTGTAATATATTGGAAACTTTCGTTGAATGAAATAACTGATATGTTGTCGAAATGAGCTTCTGCGTGTTTACTGAAGCCAATAGCGTGGCCACCTTCGTTGTCAGGCTGAGGCTAAAAAAGAACCTGACACTTTGTTCTGGTTTTTGCCATACGTCGAATATGAGGTAAGGTTAGGTTGAGGCGATAGTGGGAGAGAAGGGCGAACCAGAGATGAAGATGAGAAAATCAAAGGGTCGACCAGCGCCATCTTAAGAATGCTTGACATTTTTATATGAATGCTGGGAGAATGAAGCACAACGTAAACTCATGGAAATGAGCATGTAAGCGTATGCTTGGATCTCCCTCCATTTTATTGCAACTGTATCGAGGCACGCAGTGCCTATATAGTAAAATTCTTTTAAAATTCATTTAATTATATATATATATAATTGCTTAGTATCGTACACATAAGAACGATAATGAAAGAGTTGATGTTACAAAGTTTTCCTCCACCGCAACTCGGCCCACATGGACAACCATCTTCCCCGTATGAGGTACATGCAGAGCAATGCGGTTTTTTTGAATAGCCTTTATTTAGTAGTTGCTGACAACCCATCTTAGGTGTCCAGAAGCAGCACATTTGGCTGATTTCTTCTGAAATTGTACAAAATAAAACGGTTACCCTATACAGAAGCAGTAGAAATGATCGAACTCGCATACTTTTGTTATAAAAATAATAATTTGGAGCCACGCATTTCGTCAAGTGTTCCAAGCCCTTCGATAAATTGCCGTCCGGATTGTACTGAATCTCAATTCTGTCGAACTGGTCCGGACAAAAATAACCAGAAGTCTCGATCTGGCAGTGATCTTGAGATTCACAATCGCCACATTTCATTTTTTGTAAATACCTCGGAGTAGTCTTCGCTCCATTGGCCGTTGTGGAGGTGAACGTGAAAATTAGGTAAAAGAGGAGCGCGGACATTTTTGTTATGTGTATTATATAAGGCAAAATTTCGTTGGGTGATATATGTTGTCAGGCTGGGGCTGACAAGCCAAGTAAGTCCCAGAATATAAGATTTAAACAGCCGATGCCGAAAACCCGGAGGACAAGGTTGAGAAAATCAAAGGAGAGTCCAGCAACATCTGAAGTATTCAGCAGCTAACAGCTGCTTTAAAAAGGTCCTAAAAATCGATCTTCTTGCAATGCCTATCTGTTAAAATTCATTCATTGATTATATATTACCATACAATATCGTACACATCATAAGAAGAATAATAATGAAAAAGATGCATTCAAGCGGATTTTCTGCACCATTTTTTTCCTGTGGCCCACATGGACAGCCCATTGGATTAAGATCCAGGAAAGAGCCTCTTTCATGGTAGGTAGCACAATCAGAGCAAGGCTTTGTGCGCATCTTGTTTTTGACTTGCTGGCATCCCATTTCTTGTGTCCAGAAACAGCAGGCCGCCGAAATTCCCTCTGAGGTTATTTCAGCAGATCATTAATAAGCACATATATGGAGGTTATTCAGGAAAACTTACCTTTATTAAAAAAGAAATGATCAGGGCCCATGCATTTCCTTAGATGTCGCAATTTCGCCTTGACTCCTTGCCGGGCATCGAGCTTGTCACTGTCGTCGTGCTCACGGCAGTAATACCCAGAAGATACGATTTTGCATTCCTGGTTTACCTTCTCGCAGTCACCACATTCCATCGTATCCAAATAATCGAATCGGTTTGGTGTTAAAGTATGTGTAGTAACAACTATGGTGGTTGCGAGTATAAGGAAAATTATTGGATGCATTTTTATTGACCATAAAAATGTGACGTATGATATTTGTTAAATTCACGGCCTCCTCAGTTTTGTTTTTTTGTTTAAAATAAAAATGATTTTTACAACGTTTTGTTTTAGTGTTTTAAGCAGGTATATGAATACCACGCTCCGAGCAATTGGAAGGCACAAATATTGAATATTCCGCTTATCCGCATCAGCATCTGGAATTAAAAAACCAATACCAAAATTGACTAGCGCTGATACTGACTCAAATCTGTTCCCGAAAACCATTCGCATATATAATCCATGCATCCAAATGACATGGCTTGCCGGGTAAATATATAGGATTTTGCTTGGATTTGGTTGGAATTGCGTTCGATTGTTCGCTAAGAGCCTTTATTTTCTTTGAATATATTTACTACCTCAAATACTCGTTCGCCTATCCGACCACTCTTTTTTTTTTTTGTGTAAATCTATAAGTTCTCTAAGCCTTATGCAATTTCCAATTCAACTGGCCGGAACCTTCTGGGGGAAATATTTTTTATTGACGTGACAATTTAACATTTTCGTCAAAACGTGGAAGTGAAGGCGTGTGGGGTTGGAGGGCTATTTATATTTCGGTCTAACCCAGAGACACTGCCAATGTCTGGTTGTAGGTCTGGGCTGGGGTCTCCTCGGTCTTTGTGATTGTCATTCCACCGATCTTTGGCTCTCTGGCTGACTCAGACCGCTACCCGGTGAGAATCTACAAATAAACACGAGCCATAAATAAAATAATATAAAGCAATGCAAAGACCAGTAATGAAAAAGCTAAAAGCCCAAAAGCCAAACTGTGAATAAATACAAAACTCATTTCGTTTCTTGCTGGTATTCTTCCAATGATTCAAGCCAACTTTAAACCATTTTAGGCACGTGCCTGGCTTTATGCAACTCCCATTGCACGGCACACAAGATTTCCAAAGCGGAATAGCCGCCGAAGTGACTTTCAAACTGTCAACCAGTCATGGCCACATTTGGGTAGATAAGTATTGGTTTCGGGCCTGTGGTTTGTGGTCTACTCCGAGTCTGAGGAGCCCTTGCCGTGTTCGTCTCTCATCTCTGCTTTTCTGTGCGTGAATCTGTATGTATTTGTGTGTGCGATATATGCGATTGTCTGTAAGAGCATGAAATCATGACATCATCGATGTGAGACTTTGGTGTGTAGAAGAAAGCAGCTGGCATATAATTTACCAATTGTCCCCTACCACAGCAACGAACCCGATTGAAGCATGGTATTCGCCTACAAGCAGGAGAAAGTTTCTTAGCTAGAAATTATTAAACATAGTAGCTCTATTTGAATAGTTTTTAATTTTTTAGTTTTAATTTCTCTACAGTCGCTGAATAGTTTTTAAATCAATATTCTATACTCTCATACCGTCTCTTGCAGCGGCCTTACAATTCTCTAAAGCTGGTAATTTCTTGTTTCTTCTTTTTTTTGCTGTGATTTTCTTTTCTTCATATCTTTGTTTTTGTTTTCGCTTATTTGCCGCCAGTTTGGCTAATAATCCACATAAAATAAAAGCCAACAGCAACAATGAAAAAAATAAAACGAGGGGGAACGTTGTGAGTTGCTGCGGACACCGCAACTCTACAGTTATACCCGATACTAAGTCAGTATGGCTCTCCTCCGGCAGACGGCGCTAATATTAAACGACACGACAAAGAGTGCGTGCGAGAGAGACAGAAAATCAGTCTGAGCGTGACGTCGGGCGCTGCGTAGCCACTGCAAATTGATTTGTTCCTTATGGCTATAAAACTTATCTGATCTGATCCAGATTCAGCAATCTGATAGATATGGTCATTATCTATGATTCTGCGTTTTTAGTTTTCTCAAATCTGCAATATTGTGGATGCAACAGATTTTCGTGCTTTGTGGGGGCGGATGGGGGTGGGGCGAAATTCTGAGATATACGTTTTACAGTGATATCTTAAAGGAGTGTGTGTACCAAATTTGGTTACTCTAGCCTTAATAGTCTCTGAGATTTGTGGTTGCCTCAGATTTTCGTCCTTTGCGGGGGCGGAAGGGGGTGTGGCGAAATTTGGACATGAAACGGTCAAGGTCCGATATCACAGGAGTGTGGATACCTAATTTGGTTGCTCTGGCTTTTATAGGTTCTGAGATCCTTGAACTCATATTTTGCAATTGGCAAAACCGACCATGAAACCTGTGTGTTAGAGTGAGACAGAGCGAGAAAGAGTGAAATTGTTTTCGTGATTTTGGCTGTAATAATTATACGATCTGGTTCAGATTTTGCACTCTAGAAGATATAGTCATCTTCTACGATTCTGCGTTTTTAGTTTTCTCGTATCGTCGAAATTGTGGATGCCACAGATTTTCGCCCTTTGTGGGGGCGGAAGTGGGCGGGGCAAAGTTTTGAAATATTTTTGGAGCAGTGACATATCACAGAAGTCTGGATCCAAAACATCATTGCTCTAGCTCTTATAGTCTTTGAGCATTAGGCGCTGAAGGGGACGGACAGACGGACAGACGGACAGACGGACAGACGGACGGACGGACAGACGGACAGACAGACATGGCTCAATCGACTCGGCTATTGATGCTGATCAAGAATATATATACTTTATGGGATCGGAAACGATTCCTTCTGGACGTTACACACATCCACTTTCACCACAAATCTAATATACCCCAATACTCATTTTGAGTATCGGGTATAATAAGACTAAGAGGAAAAACAACATCTAGCAGGCAAGAGTCAAAAACACTATAAATGTCATAAATAAAAGAGTGCTTATTGCTAATGGTGGAAAATTTGGTCGAGAAAACGCGCCTGAAATCACTGCCAATTGGCAAGTCCCAAGAATTGGGAGGCCCCTTTCACAAATGTACGAGTATATCGTATGTCGATCGAGTGATGAGAACGAAGTTCAAGCGCAAGGCAGCGTGTAATGACAGCAACATTAGCCAGAAAACAAAAATTGCCCCAATTAGCGGGGGGAAATCGCTAATTTGCATAACAATGGATACCCACTTTTTCCAGGCTGTGACTCCCCACAAAAGTTCACAAACCAGAGCAAAATTTAACAGGTTTTAGGCTTTCCAATAAGTAACAATTAGTCGAGACCCAGCCCCATTCCCATGCCTCGCTGTTTTCGGTACAGATTTTCGGTTTGCCTCTTGTTTGGCAACCGAAACGAGTGCATTCCCGTGCACCACGTTGCGTATGAGCGATAAATAAAGACGGCTAAATTCGGTGTCACTGTCAGATAACAAGATTTAGAGGCCAGTCCCTCTATAAATATCCTATATACTCGTGAACTCGTATGTTTGGGCATGTGCTCGCATCACATGCAGACTTTTCTGTCTCTCTTTTGTCGGCACCCGAAACACACGAGTATTACGCATACGTTACGTTGCAGTTTACCTGCATCATGCCTGGGTATGAAATGAAGCACTTTGCTTAGAGAACCTCATTTTGGGTGTAAAGCTGGTCTCTGTTTCAACAGTAACTAACGATTGTTAGTCATAACGTAGCGATTCGAGTGGACTTTGAGCCAACGGGAGATTTCGTTCCAGCGGGAGAGTTCATTCTATACAGATCATTATGACGTCGCAGATTTGGTTTCTTTAATAGCGAGTTAATACCTTTATGAGCTGTCCAAAGTATTTCCTCCGCAATTTTCCCAATCCAAAAGTTAGATCATGCTTTTGACTGACAACATTTAATTGTATATAATAAATGGCTTTGGTTGTTCGCCATTTGTTCATTGGTCTCGCACGGTTGACTCTGTCATTCTCTCTTTCTCTGTGTGATTTGTGATTTTTTACAAATTTCTGTGCGAAGTTTTCTTTTCAATTGATTCTTGATTTCTATTTAACACTTTAAATGGATGTTGTTTAATTTGTTTTTTTATGTTTTGTTTGACTCAACCTCAATGACATGAAGCAGCAAAGTAGTACCTGATTCTGGCCGTCTTTGTGTTTTATACCGCTTCATTTTGCTGTGGTTTTTGCTGTGCTTTTGCCTTTTTGGGGCAGGCGTTGTTACTCTTTTAAGGAATATTTTTTTATTACCACTGGGCGTGCGAGTGCGAGGTGAACCCCAGTCGACGATGAGGCACACGACTCGACCATCGATCGATTTGCAGTCCAAGTCGGACAAACGAAACAAGATTCGAGCGTCTTGGCCCATCGGCAGTTATGAATAATTTACGTGCCCGAAATGTGCCCTCGGCCGGGCTCAAAGTTCTCTATCTCGTCTTGACTTCAAAGCCTAGCGACGCCGTTGTGTCTGGCAGCAGTTCTCGAAATATCTGGACATCATTTTTATGCTCTAGCGACTTTTAATTTAATTCGTTGTTTTATTTTTAGCAAATCTCGATATACTTGTATTGTCTACACAGCCACAGCCCCCAACTCTCGATCGATTTCATAAATATTTATTACGCTATTGGTCTTATTTTATGCGTACACATGTTGCCCTCGACGAGGGATGCCACAGCACTGATTTCACTCCGACGAGTTCTGGGAAGTGAACTGATCCCATCTACTTTATTGCTGTGGTTTTCATTCAAGCGAATTCCCAGGAGTTTGGTGGAAAACCCCTTTAAATTAATCAGCGAATGTATCTACAAATAGTTGAAAGTTTTCTGCAAAGTCATGGTAAAATTAAATGAACATAATTCTTTGCTATTTAGCAGGAATACGATAATGTTTATTGAAATGTTTCTAAACAAATTTAGCAAATTACAATTTGCTGATCACAAAAGCTGGCCAAAGATTTGCCAGCCCTGCCGAATGTATCAATTCTTCATCGTGCATATATAGTACATATATAGATACAGATATAGTACATATATAGATACAGATTTATGTATGTACATACATATGTAGACATATAGACAAACCGAAGACAAATAGCAGCCACATGGATCAGGCGTTATAAGAGCCGTAAACATGTTTCAGATTATTGCGG